ATCTCTGTGTGTGTGTGTGTGTGTGTTTGCATTGCACAATTTGAAGTCTGTGTGTGTGTGTGTGTGTGTGTGTGTGTGTGTGTGTGTGTAAGAACAAAGGACCTTGGGCAGAAACTTTTCCCAAATCTTTAGGAAAAATAGTGAGTATCTATCAGTCTCAAATATTCACCAGTCTATTCTCATTATGTATAGGCCTTCCAAAAAGGGAGCAATTTAAGAAGATAATGTTACTATAACTTGTTTCCAGATGCCAGAGAAGATATTTTAGTAGGACCCATAAAAGCACAGCTGTCACTTACCACGTCCACCTTCACAACAGCATCAGAATTCTGTCATCAGAGAAAGGAATGGGGAAAAACAAGGGAGAGTTAATACTATGAACGAGAGTTCTTCCTGTCTGCAAAGCACCTACTTGGACATGTACCCCACAGCATCTTTGAGAAACAGAGGAAGCCAAGCACATATCTGATACCAAACAAAAAAGGAAGGTAACACACAGCCCAAATCAATGGAAGGAATATTACAGGTGGATGAAGAAGCTTAGGGTGCTGTATTGTCCAGGTTTGTTTTGCCAAATCTCTAATTCATATATGCAGAATAGGATTATGTAGGATCATCAATTCACAATTCTTTTGTAGCAGCTATAAGCAAACACTGGACCACAGATTCTCTGAAACTTTTTACCACTTGCTCTTCAGGTCCCTTGAATAGTCTTCTCCACCCAATGCCTTTCAGATGTTTTGTGGAACAACAGCAATTATTCTTACAGTGACTAGGAATTCTCTTGAGTTCTGGCTTCAAGACATCTGCAGGGCTCCTGGTTGGGGAAAGGTATCCTGCCTCTCTCCCACCCCTCCATTTTACTTGTCATCCAGCTGTTCACCATCCACTGGGCAAAACATGCCAAACTCCAAAACACTCTTTCAGAAAGACACTCGTTTTAAAAGTATGTACTGTTTCAATGCTTGCCAAAATGTTCGATTTGAAAAGCACGAAGCAAGCACTCTTCCCAGTATGACTTAGGAGAAGGCTCCCAAGGGGTAATATAGAAGTCCAAGGTCATTCTGGGAAGATCTGTATCACACAAAAGCCTTGCCAGGGGATTTAATGTTCATGAAAGTGAAAAAGAAAAAAAAAGTTCCCCTGGTAAAGGAAATCATAATCTAGGAAAGCAGGTGGCGATGATCTATATGTCATACTAAATATGTCAGGACTAACAGAATACACACCCTTCCCTAAATACCAGAATAAAGTTGGCTTGTCAATGTCTGTCCATTCCCCACCACCCGCCCATTTCAGGCACTACATTTGTTTAAAAAAAATAAGCCTCTTTACTGATAGGTAACCAGGAAGATCAGGCATTTCCAAGGGTGATAAATGTTCTTTAAATATAATTCATGCCTGATTTTTTTAACTGATTTTTTAAAAATACCTTTGGAGAAGCCAAAGTGTCATAAATCAATGAAGGGGAAGAAGCCCAATTTTTTTGGCCCGATAGACACATTTATCATTTTGAGAACATATTGTGAGAATGCTTGCAAAGAGGCTGCTGAGATGATGGGCTTATCCAACCTGCACTCCAAAACCAGGATGCTCAATCATGCTTGCTGGTCCTGGTCCCCCCCATGGCTTGCCTAGCAGCC